AATGACAAATTGAATATAAAAGAATACCATCAATACAACTACACACATGATACTAGGCTTTGAGCATCAGGTAGTACATCCATCCTAGTTAGAAATGATGTACCTCAAAGTAAAATAAATTTAAAAAGTACTTTACAGGCAGTATACATCCCACTGACTGAACCAGTAAATGAAGCTGAAATTTGTGAAATCATAAGAAAACTTCCTGCACCTTAGGGGACTTTAACTGTCCAGCACTATATGGGATTTTAAAGACACAAAACTAAAAGGGAAGTACCTTAGAAACAATAATTAATAACAACAACTTGATAATAAATAAAACACCAACTTTAGTGTTATAACTGCTGTTATAATGAAATAAACAAGTTGAAGATTAGATATTATTATTTAAACCTTTATTTTTGGTAATACCGACATGTAACCAGCAGATAGGAGAGGATTGAATAGAGCTGTGTTTTACATGTGTTTATATGTCCACCATTGTTGTTGTCCTCCTAGACCAAACTCTCCAATTCAGGCCAACAACCCTGTATGGTTATCTCACTTAGTTGACTCTGCCCTAACACCTCCCTTTTTTTTTTAGGTATTATGTCTTTTAAGTCTAGGGTTTGCTTGCAAGGGTTTTAATTTTGACTGGATGCATTTCAATCAACTTTGGCTTTGTTCATGACTACTATCTGATGCTGATTTGGTTAGATGTGGGGGTTGTGGCAAATTAAAGATGTCCATGAGTAAGTTGAAGGTTGGCCTGTTGGGTACAGGGTCATTCTTGTTTGTTGTGGGCAAAGTGGCTGTTTTTGTTGCACCCAGACCTGGCTTCCAACTTTAATCTTATACATTCTTTTTCCTTTACTTGCCTGTATGATACTGGCTACCCAGGTTGGATTACCAGGTCAGAAAGTTCTAGTAAATAATGGTGTGTGTATTTGTAATGTCTTTTGTGGTTGTTGGCCCTGAGCTTGTTTTTGTTGAGGATGTAAGGTATCCAGTGTTGTATAAAGTTTCTGTCCCATGAGTGCCTTTGCTGGTGTTTTTCTTTCTTTTACTGACACATTCAGGGGTTGACCGATATGTCAGGAAGAAGATTTGTAATGTCTTTTCTGTTGGCCCTTCCCCACGTGCTTTAAGTAGGGTGTGCTTAAATGTGTCAACAAAACATTCTGCCTGTCCATTTGACTGTGGGTAGTAGAGTGGTGATTGGACGTGCATAACACAGTTTGCTTGACAGAAATATTTGAACATATCTGACGTGAACTGCAACCCATTATCTGACACCAAGGTCTCGGCACTTTGATGGTTGCATTTGTGTCTGTGCTTTTTGCATGGTGAAAATTTCAGGCTCTTTGGTATATGCATCAACTGCAACAAGGAAATTAAGGCCATTGATAAGGCCCATAAAATCAATATGTATCCAGGACCAAAGTCATTTGGGATCAGGCCAGTGGGAATCATTTGATTGTGGTGGATTTTTCTGCACTTCCATGCAGCAGGTGCAGCCTTTTAACCTTGTTTTCAATCTCACTGTCCAAATTTGGCCAGTAGACTGTACTGCATGTAATGGCATTCATGCATGGGTATTCAGAATGTAATTGCTTTAGGACTGCTGTTATAAGGCTATTTGGTATAACCACATTGTCCGCAAACATTAGACAGTCCTCAATGATTGATAAGGAATCACTCTGTCTTTTAAATTGCTGCAAGTCTCCTGTGAGGTTACTGGGTCAGGATCCTTGAATGAATCTGAAGACTTGTTGAATGTATGGATCCGTTTTGGTTTCACAATTTATATTCGCTGTTGTTACTGGAAGCGTCTGGACACAGTTATTGAATGTGCATTGGAAATAACCATCAACGTTGATTGCAGCAATTACAGTGTCCTTTTCTAGACTTCTTTGTGAGCCGATGATTCATGACGAAACATGTTACAATTGAATGGCAGAATACACTGGATTGACTTCTTTGAGCCAAAAATGGACAATAATGGTTTGTGGTCTGTCAGAAGGGTGAATTGATGACCAAATAGCATTCTGTGAAACTTCTTCACAATAAAAAATAAGAGCTAATGCCACCTTTTCTATTTGATTGTAGTTGTGCTCAGCTGCTGTCAGGGATCTTGCTGTATAGCTTTTTCTTTCTTATTTAGAAATCTGTGTGAAATCACTGCACCAACTTCATGTTTTGAGCAGGATCAAAGTGTATAAGGAGTAGGTCCAAACAAAGGAGGGATTTGACCTTGTGGAATGACTGTTGGCATTCAGGGGACCAGGACCACTCCATATCCTTGACTAATAATGTATTGAGTGGTGCCTTTAGTTGGTATAATGAGGGAAGGAATGCTCCATAGTAACTCACCAATCCAAGAAAAGAATATAAGCTGGTGACATTGGAAAGTGGTGGCATACGCTGAATGGCTGTTATGTTTTGTGGGTCTGGGCACTGACCTTAGTAGTCAAAAATGAAACCCAGATATTTTACTGAGGGCAGAAAGAACTGGTATTTTTCTGGATGGAAATGAAAGCCAAACTCTGTGATATGAGTTAGAACCTTGTTTATGCTTTCTCTCAGTTCCTCAGGCAATTGGCTGACAATGATAATGTTGTCTATGTAAGCTGCTGCACTATTCCAGTTAACATAGTGTCCATAATTTGTTGGAATATAGCCAGGGCTGTTTTTACCCTAAAAGGAAGATGTGTATACTGGAATAGACCCCGATGTGTGTTAATGGTCAGTAGTTCCCTTGTTCTACCTTCACTTGAAGATCAGGCTTTGCAAAGCAAGTACTGCACTTAAGCATGATGTACAGGGAATCAGGAGTGGGCAGAGGGTAATGGTGGTCCTCAAGTGTTGCACTGAGGACCACCATCAAGTGCCAGTTGAGAAGTCTGCACACAGCTGAATGGAGCCATTAGCTTTCCTCACAATCACTGTTGGTGCAGCCCACTGTGAATATGTTACTGGGGTGATGACATTTAATTTTTCAAGGCATGCTATTTTTTGGTCTACCAATAGTAATGCAGCATATGAGGCAGGACTTTTTGGTTGGAAAACAGGCTTCATAGAAGGCTTAAGTGTGAATGTGGCCTTTGCTTGTGTACAATGTCCAAGAGAATCCTCAAAAATGGTAGGAAATTTGCTAATGATATCACAGATTTGGTTAGTGTTGTCTTATTGTAACAATGGTGTTATAAAATAAAATGACATATCTCAGCTGATTTACAGGAAAATAAACTAACATACTCAAGAGCGAGAGCCGGATGTGAACGGGACAAGGCCCCATCACAAAATGACCATTATCGTCGTTTACGCATATGCCCGACGCACGAGTTCCGGTTGAAAAATAAAATAATATTTTAAAGTGTTTCTATTTTTTGACCAATAAAAATGCTTCCCTCCTAATTATACCTGTGTCATTTTATGAGCCTGTTAAGCCATAAAAACACCATAAAAGGGGTCACACGGTGAAGTACGAACACTATCTCCGGATGCACTCCATGTGATATTGGATGTTGGTTCTAATTTAGGTCTGCCTATGATGTTCCATAGTTTTTTTTAAAAATTAGAGTTATATCTGAGGCAGTGTCAATTTGTAGTCGAGTGTCATAGTTATTTAAGGTAACAAGTACATATTTACGTTTTGACTTGGAATTGGGCATGAATGTTGCTGCCACCAGACTGATTGTGAACTTTTAGAGGGTTGCTGCCTGTGAGATGTTGGTTTAGCAGCTAAAATTAGCTTTAGATATGGACATAAGAACCAAAATCACATACATTGACTTCAGGGAGGTCATTAACAAATATATTCAAAAGGAATGGCAACAGTGCTGGGATGATAACCCACACAATAAACTCTTCACAATTCAGCCCAAACTAGGAGAATGGAAGTCAGCTTTCAGAAAATCTGTAGTAGTACTGGCCTGCTTACACATTGGCCATAACAGAATAACCCACTCGTACTTACTAAACAATGAAGAGCAATCAATATGCCAAGCATGTAAAACTGCATACACTATTAAACATATATTAACCAAATGTTCAGACCTTGTTCACTCAAGACAAAAATGCTATAATATAAACATGTATGAGCTCTTTGAGAAAGCAAAAGTGGACAACGTAATATAATTTCTTAAAACAGTGGGCCTATACTAAAAAATACAAACCAAATGAGAATGTCAATAAAATCAATTTCTCTACAAACTGTATATCTGTAAAGAATACATCAATGAAACCACTCTCGACAAAATCCCTTTTTACAAAAATACTACAATGAAACCTTATCTACAAAATGATTTCTTACAAAGAATATTCTATTCATACAAATCTATTGTAAAAATTAAATAACTCATTGAGGTTGATATGCTGTAAAACAAACCAAACCAAGATTTGGTATAAGTTCTGACATTGCTCAAAACACTTGGACTTCACAGGCAGTATAAGTCATGTTTTCAGTTCCTTTGTTTGTTCTAAACCTGCATTGTTAAATGGCATTAGCATATGTAAATATTCAATTTCTTCAACAGCATATTGGTTAAGATTTTCCTGGCTGCTATTAAAAGTACTTTACCTCTGTTATTGATCACTCGGAGCATTATTTCTCCCATGTGATCAACACCATACCAAAATTTTCATCTTTTTCAGTTGCTTTACCCAGGTTAGGCCCATGAATGGCTGAGTTAACTTTCTTTAACGTAGGAAGGGCATTCATTTTCTAAATAATGGTCTCTATGGAATGCTATTCAAAGCTGATCTGCATTAAGTATTTCTTTGAAATGTTCTCTCCATCTCTCTGCAATATTGTCTATTTAGTGTTGCCAATTTATTTTTATCTTAGTGGTGCAAAAATTCATTTTAGGTTATAAAGCACCTTGCTATTTTTTTTGAATAAGCAGCCATTTAATTTCAACACAGATGACTTGCATATGACTGTGCATCAACTTTTGCATTTTATCATATATAATATATTTTTATTTTTTAATGAGAAATAAATTTTATTTCCTTTTTAGCTCAACTTCCGTATTTCAGACTTTACTCAGTCTGGCTGCCATGTGGATTCAAAATCCATGCAGGTTTCAGGAAAATCAAAATGCAAACTTACAACTGGTCAGTACCTCTTTCTTTTGTTTATATGAATTTTCTTTCTTTAAGCCAGATTATTAGTTCCTGTTGATTGCAGCTGTCATTCAACAAAACAAAAAATATCTACAATTTTAATATATAATTGACTTTTTAAAGTCTATACAAATATAAATGTAACAAAAAATCTATTCAAATATTGCAAATTGTCTTCATTCAATTGAACAAACCTGTCAGACAACAACAAATTACTTTCTTATAACTGTTAAGTTTTTGTAAATATTTCACTACTTTATTGGACATACTTTAAATGATAATCTTTTAATATAATTAATTTCTCTAAATGAAAAAAATTTATTTCTTTTCAGTTCATGAATACATTTCTTTTCATTATCAACTATGGAATATACGAGGAGAGGCTTTGAACCAAAAGCCCAAAAGCTGACATCCTCTACTGTGATAAAACAAGAATGCAATCATCCCATTCTGAAAAGCTCTAAAAGAAAGAAAAATAATGGAATTAAAGTACAGAAATGACTACCATTTGTAATGATTAAATGCTAAATATCATCGGCTTGTGAATTTTATTCAAATTATACACTCATTATTTCTATATGGAGTACAAAATATTTTGATCAGTATTGTAAGCATTTATCTCTCTCTAAGAATGCATGATTAAATGTCATGTGATTTGGGCAAGTCAATGTAGGTTGCAGTTGTACTCCATTTTCAATCTTGTTCAGAAAAGATATTTTGATGTGAACTTGCCAAAAACTACAAGAACAAATAATTTGATTCACCTTACTAACGATACTAAAATGGTCTGTCTGAAAATTCTCTTGGAACTTTTTTCAGTCATCTGGTCATTCAAACTAAAACCGTTTTTCATTTGCTTTCTTTGCTTTTAATCTCCTATCAAATGATTTGTCAACTGACCTGTTTTCTTGTCTGAATTTTATATCAGTACAAATTTTATCATAAATGAAGATTCAAAATTCTCCATTAGTAAAAATTAATTTTTAAAAATGATTTCAGTTTATTTGAACATGAAAATATATAAAGATAAAATGCAAATGCGAATACACTGTATTCATATCGAAGTACATTTATTTTCTGAGAGTATTACTTTTTTTCTAAATTTTTTATGTATACTTACCAGTTATGTAAAAATAAAATTTGATGAATCAACAAAAAAAAAAATTGTTTGAAGCCATCACTTCATCTCAAAAAAAGTTATTTTGCATCATTCAATTGGAACCATTTGCTTTTCCCATTATGCAAGATAAAATTTTGAACATTCCACTTTTGTAAACTTTAAAATTACTTGTGAACATATACATTATTATTTTTTATCATTTAACCGTGATAATCAAGTATAATAATTTTATAGCAGTCTAACTTTTGGTAATAATATACCAATATTAGATTTAAATAGTAAAGATTTCATAATTAGTAGCTATCTTCATAGAATAACTTGTAAGGAATTGCAAAACAAGAAAAATGTAAATCTTACAAAGATTCTATATATTGATTCAGAAGTTCTCATTACATTTTTGACAAAAATCTTTTATTGAAATACATTCATAGCATCATTATTAAGTTATCAAAGCATTTTCCTTGGTTTTCTATAACATCCTGCTACATTTCAGGTAAATTATAAATTCTATCATAAAACTAATTCTGGCTTTGATTTGATGAATTCCTCAAATTTTTCAAGGTCTTGAACTTGTTAAAACCAATAATCAGACAAGGAATGCTGCATGCAGCAAAACCGGTAATAATCTGGAAGATAACTGATCTAGAGAGAATACCATATGAAGATAGGCTTTCTCTTGTAGTAAAATCATTTATAAGTTTCATCACCCAGGAAAAGGTTTTTATTTCTTTTTCAATGTTTCATTGAAGCTGCCCAACTTGAGTATTTCACAATAAAACAATTCCACCAAAAACAAGATTCCCCCCTCACTCTAGATTTCATTTAAGTTGAGATGCTGAAGTAAAGTAAAGAAAAAAGAAAAATTTTTTAAATGCTTATATAAGTTCATTTGAACTCCTTTTCCTAGCTTCTGAATTTTTCCTGAATCTTTTAAACAAAATATTTCAGTTGATTGATTGCACAAGCAATAAAGTGTTAAATAAATTCCTAGAACTATTCTAAGATTTTTCTAACATTGTGTAAAAGAGATAACACAAAAGGAACTTATATGAAAAGTTTATAAAGAAATGTCACACTTTTGCTCCCATTCTCAAAAGACAAGAAATTGTGTTGAAAGTTGATTTGCAAGCACATATGAAGATTAAAATGTTTAAGAATAAATTTATAAAGTGCATTCATGTTAGTCATCTCAGAAACTAAAGATGAATAACAGCAACAACAAAAATTAAGGACCCATAAAGAAAATGATTTTATAAGAAAACTTATTAATTCTAAGCAATTTGTCTGTACCAAATGTATCCTGTTATTTTGAGTATTATGAAAACCACTTGTGCAGCCTTGATATAACTTGGCAACCAATCAGAGAGGACCTTACTGCACATGTGTATACAGGCACTCCCTTGTTGGGTTACTCAGGTATTGTTCAGTAGGTGTGTGTATTTTGTGAGTGTCACATTCACAATGATCATGCATCAAGTTTTTTTTGAAAATTGAAGATTTCTGTGCAAAACCTATTCTAGTGACTAAAAAAAATTTCAAGGATGATTCAATGAATGAAGCACAAATAAAAATTTTGGTAGTGATCCTTCAATGACTGTAGAAAATCCTCAATAAGCAGAACGTGTTGGTTGTAAATCAAAGGAAATCAGCAGTCGAGAGTCTGAGAATATGGGGACTCTACAGACTGCCCAGAAAGCATCTATTTTACTGTTCATTCTTTGTGTCGGATTTTTTTCTTTTTTGTCACATCTATCTTCCAATGCAGTACAGCTCTCTGCAACTTCTCCCAAATCTAAAATTATTGAAAGAGAAAAAGATTTCACATCATAAACAAAGAGAAATATAAGGCAGCTGATGGTGGTTCCTAAAGAGGTCTGTTTTTGAAAAGCAGAAGGATTGCTGGAATAAAAGTGTAAGGTACCAAGGAGAGTATTTTAAAGAGGTGTGACATTGCCCTAGGTAGCTTCTTTTTTTTCTTTCTCTAATATTTAATAATATTACATTTGGCTGTTGTGTATTATTAGGATCCATCTGTTATGACTAACAGTTTTTACAGATGGATTATTGGATACTACTACTACTACTCTTTGTTCAGTCAGTTAACATGTACACTAGTGTGCAAAAGTTTTAGGTCAACTACATGAAATGATTATACACCATTATTTTATTAAGAATTTAGATTGTTTAGCAGTATGCTTTTATCAGTGGTATCTGAACCTTGAGGATTGGAAAATAACTTGTTGCATTTTCATAAGTGCCATATAACAAAAGATACACAAGAAAAAGGCCATGCAAAAATATTGGGCCAATGAAAGATTTGAGATGATAGTAATGATAATACACAAACAAGTACAGATTGTTCCATTTTATTAACATGAAGGTAAGGTGCCTTTGCAAGAGAGATTAAAGAAAGATTGTGAGAGTCTTGATTGGCTGTTAATTTTAGATTGCCTAACAAGTGAGGAATAAATGCAGTTCTAATAGTGAGGTTTCAGTTGATACAGTATTATGCAAAAACAATTTGAATGATTATATAGCAACAAAAAAACATCATTAATCAAAAAACATTGGAATAAAAATGAAGTCCTTAAAAGAACATCTAACATGGGATGCTGAAAAGTAGCAAAAAGTAATGTAGGGTGATTAATAAAAAATAGTTGTATTCTAATGCAAGGGAATATATGTAAGAAGACCAGTGGAAGAAAGAAGCAATAAAAGATATCCTGTAAAGATGGTAAAATTTAGTGGTGAACATGTATTAGTGAGGAATTACACCAAAAATGATGGTAGAAGAAAATCTGCTAAAATTAAAACCTAAACAGCAAAAATGATATTAGTTGACTACAAAAATGAAGAAATTTTTCAGCATGACAGAACTCCTTGACACACATGTGCAACAAAAAGGTTTTTTTGTGGATGAAGATGTTCAACTTTTAGGAAGATTGGTCAGTACAGAGCCCTAATCTCAATATAATTAAAGCATTGTGGCAGGAACTGAACAAATAAAACAAATGTTCCAATGAAAACCATGCAGTTGCCAAGAGTTTGAGAATTACTGCCAAGAATAATGGGAACAAATTCCTAATGAGAAAATCTGGACCTTGTTCTATTAAATGCCACCTGGAATTATTTCAGCCAAAGGGAGTAACATCAATTGCTAAATGCATACTTTGACATGTACTTTCTTGAATAATAAAAACAAATTCCTTTTTAACTTTACGACCATATTTTCACTGGTGGCCCAGTATTTTTGCTTGGCCTTTTTTCACTATCACTATGCTTAAGATGCTTTATTGTCCACCATACAGGATTAATGAAAATGCAATAATTCATTTTCTGGCCCTCAAAGATCATAAAATGTGAAAAAAAGCATACTGCTAATCACTAGATTTTAGGGTTAATTTACTAAGATGGCTCAGAAGTTTCGCATACCAGTGTAAATAAATGTCTAACACTAATGCAAATGGTTATGTTGATATATAATGGATTCATGAGGGTAAAAAAAAAAAAAATTTTTATTTTAAATTTTTTTCAAAAAGTAATCTTTCTTGTCAATGCAGTTAATCTAACACTTTTTTCCCCTTAGATAAAAAATAAAATTGTGAAAATTCCTGACCAGAATTAGTGTCAGGCTATGAACTTATTAATCCACCCTCTCTCTCTTATATACACACACACACATGTTCTTATCTGACCATGAAGCCATAAAAAATAAAATATTTCTAAACTGACCACAATAGAGAAGAGCATTTAGATTCAAAATTAGCATTTTTCTGTTCAATGAAGGAAAAATTAGGAATGAATCTCACTAACCATGAAGCAGAAACTGAGTTTCAAACCTTCTTACACTATGATCATTTTCTGGGTCATGCCAGACAAATTTTCTCATCATAACCCATCTTGTATGTCTATAAATCTACCATTTCAACCATGCATTGATTATCACTGCATATGATCTAATGCTCCTGCTATAGATCTTGAGATTCTCAACAAAATCCAAAGAGTCTGCAATGTTATCATCAGTCCTGACCTGGTATCTTGGCTTCAGTCATATAAATGTTTTCTACCTTGGCTATGTGAATTTTAGCATAGTATTAGATTGGCATCTAGGCCTCATTGTTTTACTGTTGAATTAGTTAGAATAGAACTTACAGTTGCATCTAACAGTTTCTTTTGCACTTCTCACCTGTGGAACTATCTTCCAGTTTTGGGCTTCATTGTTACCTATGATCTTCAAAAATTTAAGTGTAACATCAATTGCAATCTTTTTGAATCCTACTTTTATTGTCCTTTCTCATTACTAACACCTTTTCTCATTTTCTTTCACCCTCACTTGTGTTTTAGTGGCACTATCACATTGCATGAGGCAAAACAATTTTTAAAAAATAGAAAAAAAAATGATAAAAGAGGTTTGATCAAACTGCTGTGTAATAGTTTTTTTTTTTTTTAAACAGTCAATTGTAAAGAAATATTAATTAATTTAGTTTGGTTTGAGTGGAAATATAAACATATATAGAAGATTGTTTAAAGTTACATTTAATAATTGTTCTAATTCAAATTTTATCTATAACCAGGGATATAGATGGGTTTTACAAGTACTTGTAGAAATTTAAAGGTTTGAAATCTGAATTCTTAGGAGGTACAATTGATTGACCAATTCATTCATTTTCTACTGCTTATCAACTCTTACTAGAAGGTGAAATAGAAAGAGTGGTTCAGTGGTAAATGTGAGTTTTGTCTGTTATATCTTAATAACAGGAGAGTGCTTACAATGATTAGCAAACTTGTCTTGTAGACCAGTTTGCTTGTATAGTGAATACAATCCCAATCATCAGTGGATGCTTCTTTACTTCTGTAACTTTATACCAGGCTCAACTCCACCCACTCAAAACAAGTTTCAGGAAGCAAACATTCAATTCAAGTGTAACAGTTTCAAGTTCTGCATGCTGACAGGGATGCCAATAAAAGAAATTAACATGATCACTCATTTCTTTTGTTTCATTTTTTAATGCGAGTTGTCCATGGCACACAAATATTATTTTTGCTACATGAAGACATCTTTAAAAAAAAAAAAATAATACTAGTACTAGTCACATTTGTATTTATTTTGTATTCTTCCTTGATTTTGTGTTGGGTTATGCAAACCCAAAGATTGAACTTAAAACTTTATTTTAAGAGGTGTTATCTGCAAGTTGGATTTTATTATTCATGGATTTGAATTCTGTTGATATTTTTTGTGTTTTAAATGAGTAACAATTAGAAACAAGTACATTTTTTAGAATTCCTTTTACAATATTTTTTTATATTCATTTTGTCAATAGCAAAATATAAAAACAAATTCAGGTGTGAAATAAAGCTAATGGTTAGTTACTTTCTAAAATTACAAAATTATTTTACTTTTAAACAAATTTGTCTTATTTCTTCTATAATTTTCCAGCAAAAATGCTGTGATCAGCAGAACTGAATCAGCACCCAATATTCTAGGCAGTCAGAGTCAAGTTGACTTTTCCAGAAAGATGTGTAATATGTGCTAATTACATTAATAATAATAATACAGATGATTAATTATCTGTTTCATACTAGTCAAATTAATCCATTAACATGACCTGATATAGACACTACTTGAATATATGATGAAGAAAATGCCTCTTGCCTGATGTTAGGATGAAAGTCTCTGTCATTAGTTTTTTCCTCTATTGCTCACTGATAAATTAAACAGTTATTCCAGTTAAGCAAGACGATATTTTGTGTGACATATATAAAAAGGATTAAAATGGAAATTTGTTCCAACAGGCAATTAAAATAGATTTTCCCCTCACCAGTCAACTGTCAATCCAGCTGTTTTGTTCATATCATTTTATAGAATTTACAGAAATGTTTGATGAACTGTATTTAAAAATATTGATGCTGCAATTGTAAACGTAGTTAAGAAATATCATTCATTTCAGTTTTGTATTTACTTTGTAATTTAAATATTTTTCTGAATGTGCTCAAGTAAATTTGCAAAAGTCACTGTTAATGTGTAAGTTAGCAACAGATTTTGCTATGTCAAAAGCCATTACAATCAAGTGAAATCTAACACAGTATGCAAGAACTGTTTGATATCATGATATTCTTTAGAGAGAAAAAAAAAGAAAGAAGAAATCCTGTTACAGACATTAATGCCATTTCAGCACCAAATGCTTTAAAAATATACTAAAGTTGATTATTTTGGATTCCTAACATAAAATAAGAATAGACAAAGTAAAACAAAAGAATGCATATTTATTATGATACAATACTGCTAGATCACAACCATCTGTGATAGATCCATGTTAAAAAAAAAAAAATAAATAAATAAATTCTGGCTTCTGGCAGACAATTTGGCAATGCCGAGCAGCTATGCCCAAACCATTCACAAACAGATAACCACAGTGGAAATTATTGACAAACTATGTCTGTAGAAAATGGAGACGCCTTCTTTGGAAATGTTGAGCATTACAAGAGAAATGGTCAAAAAGAAAAATTTATACACATTAAATTCTTTGCTGTATTTCTGTTGGACAAACTTGTAAACATAATTCTAATGTTTAGAAAGACATTCAATCTAAGTTTGTGCAATGAATTAAATGACAAAATTGAGAAATTCTAAAATGAAAGCTCTAAATCATCAATGCAATTTCAACCATTCCATTTGGAAGGGAAATAAATGGAGCATTACATTTGACTGAGTTTGTAATTTAGTTCTAAAAAATGTTCAAGCTAGAATTTCTTTTCAATTATAAAAGTAAATATAGAATCAATCTTGGTTAAACAGAAGAATAAGAATTTAATTTTTGTAAATGATGATGACTATAACAATGGAGATTGCTTACTCTCCATACTTATCATAAAGTGACCTGATTGAGACTATACTGTGTAAGTATATATATATATATATATACACACACAACATCAACTGAATGAACATCTCAGAAAACATCTAATTGGAACAAAAACAACATTTCTAGTTACAATGAAAAGTCTGACAATTTTTTTTCTGAATATCACAATCACAATAATTATTCATAATTACACAAAAATATAAAGCTGCAATTGAATACTTTGTTATGGCAATTTTGAAATGTTTTAAGACAGTTGTATTAAAATAAAAGTAAACAACATTTAATAAAAATGACTACAGGAATGCAAGTTAATAATTTGTCTAAAATAATTATATACAATTATTTTTGGCTTTTGTTTGACATTGCAAAAAGATAACTTTTTTGTAAATTTAACTTGTAATATTCTTAGATTTTTCAATGTTATAAGAAGCAAAGACAAAGTAAATGTAGAAAACTTTTTAATAAAGATTACAAAATTCTTGCATTTTGTAAGCCATATAATGTGACACTGCAAATAATGTAAGTGCATTTACTTTTCAGATGATTTTAAAGTAAACAAATACTATCCAGTCATTAGATCTGAACTCATGATATTAAACAAAATGTTTGGTCATACCAAATCAATTAGTGACCTTAGACAAATGGTTAGTAATCATATTGGATTGTTCAAATCTTTCTCTTGTATTTTTTTAAATAGATTTAAAATTACATCCATGCAAACTTGTGTATATCTTTTGCTAATTTCAGAAAAAAAATAAATCTAAAGCCAATTTACATTGAAATTTAGTAAAAAATGTTGCAAAAAAAAAACAAAAAAAAAAAAAAAAACAACAAAACAAATTATTCCCATTTCATTTTTTTGTCTAAAGATCATCAAATGAAGATTCATGCTTGACAAGAAAAGTGACCTTAGGCTAGTTATACTGTAGTTTTTTTGTTGATTTTTTTTAGACAATGGTAACCATTTATGAAATCATAGAGACAACTTCAGCCATTTTATTACCTGCACATTTTTCAACTATTATTACTAATTCTTTGAAGAAATGTAATGATTAGATTGATTGATATTTTTTTTACAGCTTATCAATCTTTTTTAGGTTATTTAAATCCAGAAAATCTTATAAGAATTTTAGGGAGATAATAATTTTTACTGAAACATGTTCTACGAATTAACCAGTAGCTGGGAGTGAGAGAGTTGGATTCATGCCTTTCCCAAAGGTATTTGCACATGTGAATATAATGAACTTAACTGGAACTCAGCTCTCCAATTTCCAATTCCATTATTGCACATTCAAGCTTACAGCACCTGATATTCTCAAGGTCACCCATCTAGGTACTGACCAGGCTTGATGTTGCTTAATTTTGGTGATTATATGGGAACTGGTGTTTCAACACAATATGACCATAAGCTGTAGTGATTTGAGGAAATGTAAATCTTTTAAAGTAACTCATTTGCCTTAAGACTATTTAAGATTTAATCTGGAAATATAATTTTAAAAATTGAAAATTAAAACATTGCTTTATTCAAATGTTAACAATTATAGCAAAAGTCAGATTTATAGATTTCTAATTATTATCTTTATGAAACATTTTCCAATGAAATCTGGAAGACAGAAACAAAAATATGCTTTTAGTGCATCTTTATAAATAAATTGTCCTATTATTTCTAATAATCACAGAAGCAAAATTTAAAATTATGATATAATCAAAAATTGAATTTAATCACCAATTGCAACAATTCTTTGGTAAAATATGTTTTGACCAAATATTTAATCATTACTGTAAACAGAATTTGCAGTGTATTTAAATTCAAATGGTTTGGATAGTTATTTTAACTATAACTAACATACAAAGAAGCTAAAAATCTTTACTGAAAGTGGAGATGAAAAAAGAAAATCATAAAATGAGAAAAGATAATTATAAACTTGTTAAATGTTAGTTGTTCTTTAATTACCAATTATTAAAGTTTATATTTTGCTATTCAAATAAACAAAATATAATAAAGTTGTTATATCTTAGTTCACAAATTTGCCTCTTCATAATGCAAAAAGTGCTTGTGAACCTTGAAAAGTGTCCACACTTAATTTATCAAGTGTTAATGACTATCATCCCATGACAAAGAGAACTTCGTCTTGTCTCCTCGCAGTTACTAACTAAGAGAATGACTACAGCATTTCTTGTACAAGTTAAAGATTACATCTATTCAATTAAACCAATCTCATGTAAAATAAACACAGACAACTGTTATTATTAGAAGAAACATCTATTAGATAACCGTGTATCTACAAAGTTCAATGGTTTCTTACATCTTTACAAAAACAAATCCATAAAAATGGTTACAAAAGAGGAGATTAATTCTTGGAAGACCAAGAGAGAAATCATGAATTATAGTATGGAAGCCCACTGTAAAAAAAAGAATTGTCATAAATGTCAAATAAAAAAAAAAATTAAAAAAAGAAAAAGATGAAGAGAAAACTTAGCAAAAAACACTTGTTCATAATATAAAAGTATATTTATTTTTGTAATTACTGTGGATTTGCATTGCCTCTAAGATATCCAAGGATCATTGGCAGTGATTGATGGATGATTATCCAGCCATAGTAGATGATGGATAGATTCTTTATACAAGGCAAGAATAAAACAAATTCAAGATTATTTTTTGTGCTTATTTTCCTTCTGCTCCTCCATATCTTGTCAGATTTAAATTTATACAGAATAAACTTGATTTTTACTTTCCCTGATTTTTAGGGATATAGGATTCCATAGAAAACATCTCCATAAGTGCATAGTTTGATATCCCAATATCTACATTTCTTAAATGCATGCATTTTAAAAAAAATGTAAACTGGGAGATAGATTGAACACAGGTCGGTGATGGTGACCTATTTAAAAAATATTTTTTCTTCATCACATAACACAAGTAAATATCTTAAAGAAAAAAAAATTAAAAAAAATCAATTTTGTTACAATGAATCTCAACTATGAAAAATAAAGTTTAAAAAATATATTAAAAGGAAATATTTGACCATCACTAGTTTTGTCCACTGAGTAAAATGTAGTAATCCATCCAGCATTGTCTGCACTGAATGATACTAATTAAAAATGAATGAAAAACAAACTTTTTAAATGCAAGTAATAATTTTCATCTTTTTACCGCAGCTGACAGTATAAGAATAAAATGGAATAAAATTTACATTAAAATCTTTGCTCAGTAATCAAGCATTGATAGTTGTGAGTGGGTTGGGGGGGGTCTGGTTGAAGCATTGATCAACATAAAATCAGATTGATAAGTCTGGTGAGGTAAAAATCAAAGCAGGCATAAAATACCTGGAGGAATTCATTAAGACATCAATTTATCGATAGTGATCAATAGTGTGCTAGGGAGTCCCCCAAAGATTTGTGGACAGGCACTGAAAATTGATGTCATAAGCTGCAAAGAATTCATCTCCAAATTAAACATGGGGAAAAAAAAAAAAAAAAAAAAAAAAGAGAATCTCTTCAAATTTGAGCAAGCTGAGGTTTGTCCAGCAAAATCATGTCAACATACTTCATGTTCTTTTTTAACAGCGACAAGAAAATCTTTGCACCCCAGAATGGGAAAAACCAACACTGGAATGTTTCACCAAAAGAGTTGTCAGATCCAGATATTCTATCAATGCAGGAACAAGTGTCCAGTTTAGATATACATGTCTGCCAACATCCCCATCAAAAGTGTATTGTTATTGAAGAAGAGTTTTTGTTTCTTATTTAGAATTTTTGTTAAGAATAATCTTTGATTTTAATTATTGTTGAAACATAGATGCTTTTTCTTTGAATGCTTTTTTCCTTTCTCTTGCTTCTTCTGCCAACTTCTTCTTTTCTTCTTGTTCTTCCTTGATTTCATTTTCAAATTTCATTTCTCTGGTTTGGGCATCAATCTGAAATGAAAAAAACAAAAAAACTCAGCATCATTTGTACTCTGGAAGAGTTATCAGTTTACTTTCAGACTAATATTATCAACATTTCAGCCATTGTCCCTCCCAGCCTTCTTTAGACATCTATAAAACCTTCAAAGAATTTTGACATGAACTCTTTATTTAATCTCTATAGGTAGATTAGAATTTGTTCTGCTGTCCACATATAGGAATATTTTATCTTGTGTTTTTAGTATTTTTATCCTGTTGCCAGAGTCTTAGTCTGTACTACCTGGGCCAGGGATTGAACTCACATTTACTATGTCACAAAATTTACAAACTGTGGAACAATCCTGCACCCAGCAAAATCAATAGTCTCTTAGAAATCCCCTTGTAGTTTCAAAGTACTGAAAGTATTTTGGATTAACAAAAATATTATGTAAACTGATTAGGTGAGCAAAAGTTCTGCCAAAGAAAAGTGCAAGTTGGAAGAGTGTGACTTATTATCCTGACCTGAACTGAATTGGTGCATACCAGCATTCATCAAAAAGCATTTGAAACAAGATTAAAAGGTAAACACTTGGAACAAGGTATTCATTGATTAAACTAGGAAGTTACATTCAAATAAAAGAAAACAAAAATGACTTGTTACATGATGAAAATAAGTTTAATAAATGCTATAAAAAAGAAGAGGAAATTGTACAAAAAGAAAGAAAGTACAGCTACTATAAATGGCAATGCATAAAAATAATATTAGAAACAGCTGACCAGTTTTTTTGTCCATCTCTCATCAACAAGTAAAAGAAAGTAGGAGGATAAGAAACATATATATTAATAATATACTAAGATACATAATCTACAAACAAATTGAGACCCAACAACTATTCTTTTTGTTTACACAAAGAAGGCCCTCTCAGTTTAATAAAAATTGTCTCAAGAACTTTCAGCTGAAAGTCAAAATGTGATCTACTCAATACAGAATACATTCTCAGGCTAGTTTGATATACATTGCCAATTATTAACAAAATTTTGGGAGATTGCAAACTCACATTAAATCACAACAGCCTTCCACCCAGACTTTCTTTTAGTTGCTGTGCACAGTATTTTATTTTCTCAATTGAGCTCTGATGAAAGAGGAGCAAAACCCTGTCAGTTGTTTTTTTTTTCTTCATATTACCATTATTAATATTATTGGTGGTTACATTTTCTTACTTTTTGCTCAATCTCCTCTTCTATTTTAAATATATGTTTTCACAGCATTCATTAAATTTTGTACAGTCAATAAAATCTAAAATGAAGTTTGGTGGAAAGAGTCAAATGCTTTGGGAATACATGGAAGTAATGACTCAAGAAAGTTAATTAAAATAGACAAGAACCTAAATATTGACAGAAACTACATCCATAATTACTGAAGGTTGTTTGGTACAAAATTAGCATGATTTTTCATAATTGAACCACAAGGTACATATAACAGTTTGGTTGCTGAAGGCATCATCATATCAGAAAATTGACTAGTTCAGAGTATCAATTTAAATATCAAATAAATATGGAAAGAATTAAAGAGCAGAATTTGTCAGAAGAATTGATGTAATCTTGTAAAGTTGTGGGAGGCTCAGCCATAAAGAATGGCATTTCATAGTTATGAATTTGGATCCTGAGGCTGGTCAAATTCATATTTCCTCAAAAGTAGAATCTATATCTCTCTCTCTATAGCGAATATAGATGAGACGTCTGGAAATTAAAGTGTGTCAAGGTCGCATGTGGGTTGATTGGCGATTGCCAAACTTCCCCCCTAAATGGTCTTGTTCTTAATAGTAATAAGCCAGCAAACAGCTCCTTGGCAACAAACGGCCATTATAAGGGAAGAATACTGATTGGGTGATGCTCTTGTATGATGCAAAACAGCGGGAAGTCTGAGACCATGAGGAGAAATTTATTGTAAGTTTAGTTGGCCAAAAATTCTAGTCGGAAAAAGATGTGCCTGTTACTTGGTGAATAATGTAAGTTAACACCCCAAGGCAACTCATGTGGGGAGCTTACGAAAACAGTCAGAAAGATATAAGAAACTTTGGCCCTTTTGTTCCTTAACTGACAGCGAAAACAGAATCTGAATGGAACAAACACATCAAAGGAAGAAATCCTGAGAAGTTTGAATCAGATCATGAGGAAGGAAGAATATGGCTCATTAGATCAGAATTGAATGTTTGCAAAAAACAAAGAACAAAAATGATTTTAATGATAAGCATAGAAGATATACAAAGAAAGGAAAAGGAAAAATCTGCCATGGCCATGCATTACTACACTTGAAACTGATGAACGGAAAATGAGAAAATATGAAAGACAATGAGGAAGCTGACCTCAGTAACCTGTTTTGTTCTCAATGAGAAATATGGCAAGTTACAAAATAAAGAATAACAAAATAAATGAGCAATAGAAAAAAAGAAAAAAAAAGAAGGATTTTGAAAGAAAGAACTTTACGCTGAAAAGAATTACCCGAGAAACAGCGATATCATGAAAAAGAAAAAAAAAGAGGAGAAACTTATTTTTCTTTTCACCCAGTCTGTAGAATGCATACACAAACATTTTGAAGAAAATTTCATCACACACATCTTTCCAGACAAAAATTAAGTGAATTACCCCCAAGTTGTTGAGATATGAACATTTTGTTCTTTTATGTTTTTTTTGGTTATTAATAAAAGGAGCTTATAATTTTAATCGTGTGTTTTGTGGTATCTTCGTTTTGGTCACTCGAAGGTTATGTGTTGTGTCTTCCCCTGTTCACTCATGGTGGAGTGACATCCCATAAAATTGCCCAACCCAATATCAGCAATTCACTTGGCATTGTCTGGGCAGTGGGTATAAATATAAGGGTTGTGACTTAATACTTGTCACTCTCGCCAGGAGTGAGCCCCAGTTGGAGAGGTTTTGTGACAATACTCATAAATTGATGAGGGATTTGTGTACATCCCTTATCAAGATCAATCGTGCATCCCTCCCCAGGATCAATGAAAAGTGTTGTTCAAACTATAGGAAGCCACGTTAAATATTTAAAAAAAAAAAAAAAAAGTATAGTAGCATTTCAAAAATAAATATTCTGTAATAAATCTTCCTTTGAAGACACTGTATCTGGTTTGGTTTATGTAAAGTGGGTAAAAACTTTTGTATGGTCATTTTAATGGGGTGGGGTATATTGCATTTATCTTAGAAAACTTACTGCTAAACATAATTTACTATAGAAATGACCCCTATTCCACATTTAAATAATCAATGTCAAATATCTTCTTCTAAGTTGATAATTATTAAAAGTTTATAATAGTTTAAAAATAGTCAAAGACTTTTGTACTGCGCTATATAAGCCTATTTGTTGGTTTAACCCATTAATGCTCATCATTAAATTCAGTATTGTAGGTCTCTACATATAACTCATTAATATGCCTCCCCCCACCCACAAAAAATAAAAAAAACAATGGAACAGTGGGAATTAATGGATTAATTTAACCTCCATTAGAAAGGATGAAAGTAATTTATCAGCCATGCTTATCTTTGGGAGTGTAATAAAGAAACATATTCTGTAGTTCAATCCGGTTCCTTTTTCTTATCAATTCAAATACCAAAATCCCTTATCTACCAAACCTAAGGTCAAATCTTTCTATTATCAATGCTTGACATTTAATGATTATTTCCTCTTGCATTTCTGATAGTTTCTGACCAGACATGTTCTGGATTATAATATCCAAATTAATATCCTATTCTTTATTTGTATAAGAAATGTGATATTTTGTTCAATCAGGGTTGATGATGAGAGTGTATATATATATATGTATATATATAAAATTCAGGTTTCTCTGAATCAGCCAAAGAATTGTCTGTTAATGAATATAATTGTGATTTAATCCATGTACAATATACTTCTGAATAAACGTTTAGTAACAGATTTTTTAAAAATTTATTTTTGAACACCACTGCTCCTTTGTGGTAAGACATCACCCTTTGAAATGGAAGCCTCAAACTGCAATGGAGAACTCTTGTTAGGCAGTTTGTGACATGTTATAATATACAAATCCAACACTCTGATTAGAGTGCATCTAAGTAAACTGGAAACACCAACCAACATAACTTGATTCCACCCATATAAAGCATGAAAAACACCTAGGTATAAACATCCAAGCTCTCTAAACATTAAAAGGTAAATTTAGAATTCAGTAAAAAATTAGAGTCCAAATTGATGTCAATAAATCTTGATCAAAACAACGTAGAGGAATCAAATAACATTATCATGTCGTCATTAGCTGAAAATATTTAAATTTTTATACTTGTTTGATTTTGGTATTTCCAATTTTTAATTTGCTATTCCTTTTGATAACAACCATGAATTCTATTTGCTTGCAATTGATGTTTAATCCTTTCTAAGAATACTTAGAAGGAAAAAGATATACTCATATGATAACAATCCAGAGCTGAAAAAATTGGTATAAAAAGAAAACAAACAGAAGAAGGATAAAAAACATAAATGGAAAATACTGAATGATTAACAAATAAACTAGTTAACTCTTTGAGAAACTAATATCTCGAATATTGGAAACAAAATTAATGAAATCCAGCAGCATAGGCAAGGTGTTAAAATGTGGAAAAAGAAGTGAAAAATCACAATAATATCATACAATCAAAACCACCACAAAAGAAATGTCCTAGTCTCAAAAAACACTTTGAATCACATTCCAACCCTGACCACAATAAACTAAAGATACCCACAGAAATAGAAAATATGATGATCATCAAACAATTCTAAGAAATTGCATACCACTCCAAGAGAAAATTTTATACCTGTTATGTCAACCTCACGGTAGTATATGGCCACATCAATAGAAACTTCCTCTTCATATCCATTAGAAACCACCTTCCAAGTTCTGAATCAATCCACTGAGTACTTTGATCTAATACAGTATCAGTTCACAAACTCTTCCATATCTGGTAAGGACCTCAAATGGAAAAATTTCAAACCTCAAGAGTATGACATGGATATC